GTGATTCGAGGTTTACACACACATTGGTGCTGTACTTTTTGAGTGCACGTTCGAGACCAATATAAAAATAAGGAGATGTGGAATGGTTCAAATAAAGTGGATGTAAGCAATTATAGGCAACCGTACAGCATTCATCAATGAAAAAACCCATACCATATTGATAAATAAATATAAGATATTTATTTGTTATTGTTCAACTATCATATTAAACAATCAATGCAGACTTTCTAAATTGATTGTTTAATATGCTAGTTAAACTAAAAATTAAATATCTTATATTTATTTATCAATCAGAATTTACTAAACGCATCTGTGAACATAACTATTTCTCCTTTTGTATATAACTACAATGACTGGTGATATATTAAAAAATATCATACATATGAAGACGAATCCTGTTTGAATTCTTTTACGCTAGTCATTTTGGGGCCTTTTATAGCTTGCTGTTCGGTGTGAGCCAAGGCTCCCTGTTGAAGGCCGTACTTTGACCTATAATTGTTTACTTGGATGGAGAGTTGTCTCATTGGCACTCATGCCACATCTTCTTATTTCTAATTAAGCAAAGGGAACGCGTATTAAAAATATTTTTTGAAGCGCTCATCCAACAATACGTATCCAAAGCGAACAAGAAATAATTATTGTTTATTGGGTCTTGAATACCCATACTGTAATTTGATGTTTTCTCCTGTGCGAAACAAGTTCCAAATTCTAACATTCTAGCCAATAGAACCTTAGCCAAATCAGAAAGCAACCAATCAGAACCGGTATGTGTTATGCAATAATTCCAAAATGGCGTGCATATATAATAAACAATACAAACAGCTCAGAGTCTGAAAAGCCCATATTTATCTTACTTGACAAGACTGGACATAATCCCGACAGTATTTAACTGTACTTGACTTTGGTCTAAACCTTACTTAATAAGTCTAATTCGGTTCTTGATAATCTTAGACCAGTCTCGACCAGTCTTGATAGTCGAGACTGAGTCGATACTGGTCAAGACTGAGTCAAGACTGGTCGAGCATTTTGCATGCAAAAGGAGATGTTGAATGATTGCTTGTGCGAGAGCTTACTAATGTTAGTTTTTATTACTCTGGAGGATAGTTTTGAAAAATTTGTAAAGCAGATGACCAGTGATATGTACCACTTGTCACAGTCGCAACACGGTCCTCTTTTCCTCGATTTTGACATCACCGAATGCGACCTATCACCGTCGGAATACCTACTTGCAACGAACAAAACTGCGGCAGCCACCAGTCGTGTAAGACTACATAAAAAAAGAGCTCCAGAACATAGAAAACAAATAATTCTTCATGATTACTCTCAATACAATATTTTGTAACATTAGTATGACCAAGGGTGCGTGCATGCGGGGCCTTTTATACTGCATTCAATGGGATCATATAAGATATGACCCCTGAGGCATTACTTTCTATAGATATAAGAAGATGTGGTATGAGTGCCAATGAGACAACTCTCCATCCTATGTTTGTTTGTTGTTTGATATTGTCTTTCACTTCTTTTGTTATTTGTTATTTCCTATCTCTGTTTATACTATCAATGTGACACTCAATGAACAATGAAATTTTCAGCATAAAAACGTTAAAAGTGGAATAAGTATGCGAAGTCATATGTTATAGGACTAGCATGTTTATTGATATAACTGGTCTGTTGCAGGATCCGAGGAAAAGAGCGGGAGTGGAATTATGTAACATATATAACATTTTAACGGTTGTATGCAAACACTTATGTTTTTTTTTCGATCAAAAGAGAATCCGCCACTGTGTTATCTCATTGTCAATCATCACAACATCTCCTTATTGTCAATCCTAACAACATCTACTCATTGTCAATCCTAACAACAGCATCTCATTGTCAATCATAACAACATCTCGTCATTGTCAATCATCGCAACATCTCCTCATTGTCGATCATAACAGCATCTCCTCATTGTCAATAATAACAACATCTCATTGTCGATCATAACAACATCTCCTTATTGTCAATCATAACAAGATCTCCTCATTGTCAATTATAACAACATCTCCTCGTTGTCAATCATAACAGCATCTCGGCATTGTCAATCATAACAACATCTCCTTATTATCAATCGTAACAACATCTCCCAATTGTCAATCATAACAACATCTCTTCATTGTCAATCATCGCAACACTCTTTATTGTCAATCATACCAGCATCTCATCATTTTCAATCATAACAACATCTCCTCATTGTCAATCATAACAGCATCTCGTCATTGTCAATCATCGCAACATCTCCTCATTGTCGATCATAACAGCATCTCCTCATTGTCAATCATAACAACATCTCATTGTCGATCATAACAACATCTCCTTATTGTCAATCATAACAACATCTCCTCATGGTCAATTATAACAACATCTCCTCGTTGTCAATCATAACAGCATCTCGGCATTGTCAATCATAACAACATCTCCTTATTATCAATCGTAACAACATCTCCCAATTGTCAATCATAACAACATCTCTTCATTGTCAATTATCGCAACATCTCTTTATTGTCAATCATACCAGCATCTCATCATTTTCAATCATAACAACATCTCCTCATTGTCAATCATAACAACATCTCCTCATTGTCAATCATAACAACATCTCCCATTGTCAATCATAACAACATCTCCTCATTGTCAATCATAACAACATCTCCTCATTGTCAATCATAACAACATCTCATTGTCAATCATAACAACATCTCCTTATTATCAATCGTAACAACATCTCCCAATTGTCAATCATAACAACATCTCTTCATTGTCAATCATCGCAACATCTCTTTATTGTCAATCATACCAGCATCTCATCATTTTCAATCATAACAACATCTCATTGTCAATCATAACAACATCTCCTCATTGTCAATCATAACAACATCTCCCATTGTCAATCATAACAACATCTCCTCATTGTCAATCATAACAACATCTCCCATTGTCAATCATAACAACATCTCCTCATTGTCAATCATAACAACATCTCCCCATTGTCATTCACATCTCCTCATTGTAAATCATAACAACATCTCCCATTGTCAATCATAACAACATCTCCTCATTATCAATTATAACAACATCTCCCCATTGTCATTCATAACAACATCTCCTCATTGTCAATCATAACAGCATCTCGGCATTGTCAATCATAAGAACATCTCCTTATTATCAATCGTAACAACATCTCCCAATTGTCAATCATAACAACATCTCTTCATTGTCAATCATCGCAACATCTCATCATTGTCGATCATAACAGCATCTCCTCATTGTCAATAATAACAACATCTCATTGTCGATCATAACAACATCTCCTTATTGTCAATCATAACAACATCTCCTCATTGTCATTTATAACAACATCTCCTCGTTGTCAATCATAACAGCATCTCGGCATTGTCAATCATAACAACATCTCCTTATTATCAATCGTAACAACATCTCCCAATTGTCAATCATAACAACATCTCTTCATTGTCAATCATCGCAACATCATTTTATTGTCAATCATACCAGCATCTCATCATTTTCAATCATAACAACATCTCCTCATTGTCAATCATAACAACATCTCCTCATTGTCAATCATAACAACATCTCCTCATTGTCAATAATAACAACATCTCCTCATTGTCAATCATAACAACATCTCTTATTGTCAATCATAACAACATCTCCTCATTGTCAATCATAACATCTCCTCATTGTCAATCATAACAACATCTCCCCATTGTCAATAATAACAACATCTCCTCATTGTCAATCATAAAAACATCTCCTCATTGCCAATAAAAACAACATCTCCTCAGTGTCGATCATAACAACATCTCCTCATTGTCAATAATAACAACATCTCATTGTCAATGATAACATCTCCCCATTGTCGATCATAACAACATCTCATTGTCAATAATAACATCTCCTCATTGTCAATCATAACAACATCTCCTCATTGTCATTCATAACAACATCTCATTGTCGATCATAACAACATCTCCTCATTGTCGATTATAACAACATCTCCTCATTGTCGATTATAACAACATCTCCTCGTTTGTCAATCATAACAACATCTCCCCATTGTCAATAATAACAACATCTCCTCATTGTCGATCATAACAGCATCTCGTCATTGATAACAAAAAGATACGAGCAGTGTTCTTTGCATATAAGTGTTTCAGTTGAGGATCAAGGCAGTGCATTTAACATGTACATGTAAGCGTTCAGTTGAGCAAGGCAGTGAGTGCCCTTCACACGTTAGTGCTTCAGTTGAGGTTAACAATACAGTGGCGGATCCGGGGGGTCCGGGGATAGGAACCCCCCTTTTTTTGACGATCAATGCTTTTGAATGGGGACATATGGTTGGAAGGATTACTAAAAAGGTTAGAGCAGTACACTTTAGATGTAAGCGTTTCAGTCGAGGATAACATTAGATCAAGTCAGTGCCCTTTACACATAAGTGTTTTAGTTGAGGATAACAAACATTTCAAGGTAGTGAAGTTTACGTGTGTTTCAGTAGAGGATAACAACAGATCAATGCAGTGCCCTTTACACGTAAGTGTTTCAGTTGAGGATACCAAATAGATCAGGGCAGCGCCCTTTCCACGTAAGGGTTTCTGTTGAGCATCACAAACAGATAAGGGCAGTGCACTTTACACGTAAGTGTTCCAGTTGAGGATAAAAGAGGGACGAAAGATACCAGAGGGACAGTCAAACTCATAGATCGAAAACAAACTGACAACGCCATGGCCAAAAATAAAAAGACAGACAAATAATAGTACAGATGATACAACATAGAAAACTAAAGACTAAGCAACACGAACCCCAACAAAAACTGGGGGTGATAACATACGGACCAAAACAGTAGAATTTACATAGTAATGCCATGTTTTTGTATCAGATGACCACACACAGATCAGGGCAGTACACTTTACATGTTAGCAGATTTTGAACTAAAAAACAACTGAGGAAGTCTTTTTTTTATCTAAAATAACATCAATACATGATTATCATTATAATAATATATTTCATTATATAAGAATACAATAAGGTTACTGGTACGAAAAATAACAAATGTTTTAATATACAGTAAAATAATGAATTAATATCACTCCATATACTAACAAAATGGAACTTTTTTATTTCGCGGCATCCAAATATTCTATGAAGAAATAATACTTTTAATTCTACTGGTAGTATGTTTTAATATTTCAACGTTATCAAATTTAGATATTTGCACAACATTTTCTGTATTTTTTATTGAAGCATGCTAATGCTAATGAAAATGTTATACGTCAGTCTTATTTAGAGTTAAGTTTGCCAAAACCTAATAGGAATTATCATGGGGAATGCAGAACAAAACATGTTCTGTAAGCAGTATCTATTTTTTTGTTAGTGAGATTTTTCGGTATGTTTGATTTCTATATTCACTTACTTCATCAATGTTAAAGATAGAGGGCTCCGCTTAGTTTAAAATGAAAAAGCCAATTAAAATCATTATAATTACGTATGATGTCTTCTATAATAAATGCAAACATAGAGAAATAATCATATCAATGGCAAGTAAATATGTATAAATAGTATAATTATAGAAATGATTGTTTACACTTAAAAGACTGGCCGTCTTAATAGCTTAGATTGTTCTCTTTTTTTTCTAGACAAAATTCATGTTGATAACATAAATCTATAATTCCACGTGCACTGATTATCACGCGTTTTTTCTCCTTGATATCATCAAATGCAAATAATATGTTCTTGTCTTTCTATAAATATGGTGAGTGAATTCGATTATAGTCCATTAAAAAGGGAAAATTATTCCTAACAATCATGCTGTTGACACAGAGATATTTTTCGCCTTTAAGTAATTTTGATAGTAAAATGCAAGTGTTGAAATCAAAATAGCAATACTTCAACATGTAAACTATGCAAAACAGTCAAAGTAAATGAAGATACAGGTCCAAATAATATCCGTGGAAATAATATATGCCAATGATAATGCAACTGCATACCAAGTATCCTTAATTTTTATTGCAAAGTCAACAGACCATGACTGAAAGAACAGGACCAAATTATTTGCGTGGAAATGAAATATGCCAATGCTTAAACAACTGCAAACCTAATAGCTTAAGTGGTTCCTCTTAAACAGACTTTAACAAATTAAAGTGTTGACGCCGCCACCAACACCTGAAACAGTAAGCATTATTCTCGCTTTTTGACTCCGTCTAGACGAAACAAAAACTTGATTAATTTGATTCTCAATTAATTTTCACGGCATTGGAATTAAAAAACTGCATCTAAATCGGATAAAACACACAAAAAGGACAAGATACCGAATACTGATAAAACAACTTGAGACAATTGATGGGAAAATCACCGGATTTCAAACCAATTTTTGAAATCTTTTTATTAAATATCAAAGTCAAATTTAATATAGGAAAGACATTTGTGTATATAGATTTCCAATTTTCAAGACGTTTTTGTCGAATTTTAACCACTGATTACGTTCTCAGAGCAATAACATAAATACAAATATAAATACAGCACAACCCCTATATAAATCATAACTGTATGACATTAGGTATAATGCATTACATACAGGCTAAAATATTATTTCCTTGTCTTATAATTTAATGAATAATGCATATTTATGTTTTTTGACATGCTAGTAATTAATTTTACATAACAGATTATTTTAACACATAGTCTTAATTTACCGTGAAAATACTGCAACATATCAGCATTACATAAAATAATTAACAAAATATTGCAATCTTTGAAATGGGGAGTAGTCTGACAGAAAAAAAAGGGTTATTATGACAGAAAGCAGCAAAATAAAATAAAATTAAGGAATAAATATTGAACAAATTCATATGGTTTTGTTTGAGTAATGGTCCACAACTATGTCTCTTACTACTGTGGGAATGTATGGGCAGATGATAAATATTTTCATGGTTAATGCGATCATAGTGATTTAATAGTATTATATTTGTCTAAGCGTGTATAATATTTGCTTTCTTGATTTACGTAATCAAAACGTGTTAACAAATCTCTATTTGTCCCTTAATTTTATTTTCTACAATGTTCGTTTGGTACTTAACGGTCATGTGCCTCGTCAGGATGTGCCTCGTCAGGATGCGCAAGGTGTGAATACGGTAAACTTCAATGAGACAACAAACCAAACAACACAAAAGTGAAAACAAAAGAACGTCACATGGTCTTCAACAGTATATAATTGTCTATAGTCTGTGTTAATGTATTCGTAACTTTTCTAGACTCGTCGATATATAAAGTTTGACATGTTGTATAGAGACTTGTTTACACCTGTTAACCTTGGTATGCTTGAATTTTCGGTTGATGGGTTGCTGTCCTATTGACTACAATGTATACCCAACATCTCTCTTTTTTCATAATATTTGTATTTGTCAGGGGCAGTGGGATAATCTAAATCATCGTTCAAAAGGAGGATGACAATTAATTGCATATATTCGATTTTACAATAAATAAATCATTATGCAACTTTTACAAAATATCAGGGCAAAGTCTGCCAGAAAAAACAAACCGGATATGAACAATTTCTATGTAAGCCGATTGATAATTTGAACATATCAAAACTCAGTAGTGACGAAAAAGTTTGGACAACAGACATATCATGAAACTATAAAGGGACGGCAAGCGTAAAACTATATACCCAGTGCAAGCTAGGGCATGAAAATAAGTATGAATATTATTCGAAACTTTGAATGACACTTTTAAAAATAAAATAAAAATGAGTTCGTAATATCGATATGTCTGTCAAAAAAGGAAAAAATGTGTCGAAATTAAAAATTTCCATGTCCAAACAGAAATTACATTTTGACAATCTTCAGAATGTTTAATAGTTGTTTTTACTTAGATATTATTCCATATGATTTTTTTCATGAACAATAAAAAGAACTACACGAAGGTGGTTAGCTGTTGGCAGTGATACAAAATATATCAGAAAGTTAATGGTCTCCTTAGTTTTCTTTGAAATGACATTTAAACTTACTTCAGCAATAAAGATTGGTCAGATGGATAATTCGTAGAGTAACATGTTTGTACAAGTCTTGAATAGGTTTAACATAACAATAAATATAAATGTACAATATATAAATCTGTATGAAATACATTTTAGTAGTACACTTCTTCCGATTCAGAATACTGATGTCTTTATATACACTAGTTTTAGTATAAGGAGTCTCGCATTGTGTAGCACTTGTAAGCCTCCATTTGTCTGATTTCTGAAATGAGAAAATAAAGATATCAACGTTAAAAAGAAGTGCATTAAAATACACAACTCTATATTATGGCGATATATTGAACTACTCTTACAAATGGATGACAATCTTTGTATTACTGTTTATTTTGTTATTGTTCTTCTTTTTTTAAATATTAAAGAATGTATTGGGATATCTTTTAATTCCCATTTATTCTGAAGGAACTTTTACGCTTACGAATTCACATTTCATCGTTAAAAATCCCTGGACTTGAGATAATCTTTTGAAAAAAACATTATAAAGAGTCCCGAGAAAAACAATGGAACTTTTTTGATGGCGTTTCTTGAAACAATATATATCCTTGGCACACTTTCGAAAGTGATTCGATAGGTATTCGCCTTATAATATTTTTTGATAGTTAACAAGAACTCATAAAATATTTTAAATACTGGTTGTTTATCTGACTCGCCATATTATCTGAGGAAAGAGATTTTAAGTTTTAGCAATTAATTTTAAAATATACAATAGCAAATGTGTTAGTTTTGCAGTTCTGAATTGTCGACCTTTTGTCTGATTTTAGAATTGAACCCGTTAAATTAAATATTAGTAAGGGCTCTCGGCGCCGTATAGTCTTTTCATGCAACAATCAATCAACCAATTTGTTTGCCCTAAGAAATGTCCATTGTCAAACGGATAAGTACAATATTAAGTGGAAGTGTTTCACTGGACTATATTAAGTGGAAGTGTTTTACTGGACTATACTAAGTGGAAGTGTTTACTGGACTATACTAAGTGGAAGTGTTCATTGGACAATACTAAGTGGAAGTGTTTACTGGACTATACTAAGTGGAAGTGTTTTACTGGACAATACTAAGTAGAAGTGTTTACTGGACAATACTAAGTGGAAGTGTTTTACTGGACTATACTAAGTGGAAGTGTTTACTGGACTATACTAAGTGGAAGTGTTTTACTGGACTATACTTATTGGAAGTGTTTACTGGACAATACTAAGTGGAAGTGTTTTACTGGACTATACTAAGTGGAAGTGTTTACTGGACTATACTAAGTGGAAGTGTTTTACTGGACTATACTAAGTGGAAGTGTTTACTGGACAATACTAAGTGGAAGTGTTTTACTGGACTATACTAAGTGGAAGTGTTAACTGGACTATACTAAGTGGAAGTGTTTACTGGACAATACTAAGTGGAAGTGTTTTACTGGACTATACTAAGTGGAAGTGTTAACTGGACTATACTAAGTGGAAGTGTTTTACTGGACAATGCTAAGTGGAAGTGTTTTACTGGACAATACTAAGTGGAAGTGTTTACTGGACTATACTAAGTGGAAGTGTTTACTGGACTATACTAAGTGGAAGAGTTTTACTGGAAAATACTAAGTAGAAGTGTTTTACTGGACTATACTAAGTGGAAGTGTTTACTGGACTATACTAAGTGGAAGTGTTTACTGGACAATACTAAGTGGAAGTGTTTACTGGACAATACTAAGTGGAAGTGTTTTACTGGACTATACTTATTGGAAGTGTTTACTGGACAATACTAAGTGGAAGTGTTTTACTGGACTATACTAAGTGGAAGTGTTTACTGGACAATACTAAGTGGAAGTGTTTTACTGGACTATACTAAGTGGAAGTGTTTACTGGACAATACTAAGTGGAAGTGTTTTACTGGACTATACTAAGTGGAAGTGTTATCTGGACTATACTAAGTGGAAGTGTTTACTGGACAATACTAAGTGGAAGTGTTTTACTGGACTATACTAAGTGGAAGTGTTAACTGGACTATACTAAGTGGAAGTGTTAACTGGACTATACTATGTGGAAGTGTTTACTGGACAATACTAAGTGGAAGTGTTTTACTGGACTATACTAAGTGGAAGTGTTAACTGGACTTTACTAAGTGGAAGTGTTTTACTGGACAATACTAAGTGGAAGTGTTTTACTGGACTATACTAAGTGGAAGTGTTAACTGGACTATACTTAGTGGAAGTGTTTACTGGACAATACTAAGTTGAAGTGTTTTACTGGACTATACTAAGTGGAAGTGTTAACTGGGCTATACTAAGTGGAAGTGTTTTACTGGACAATACTAAGTGGAAGTGTTTTACTGGACAATACTAAGTGGAAGTGTTAACTGGACTATACTAAGTGGAAGTGTTTACTGGACAATACTAAGTGGAAGTGTTTTACTGGACTATACTAAGTGGAAGTGTTTTACTGGACTATACTAAGTGGAAGTGTTTTACAGGACAATACTAAGTGGACGTGTTTTACTGGACAATACTAAGTGGAAGTGTTTACTTGACTATACTAAGTGGAAGTGTTTTACTGGACAATACTAAGTGGAAGTGTTTTACTGGACAATACTAAGTGGACGTGTTTTACTGGACTTTACTAAGTGGAAGTGTTTTACTGGACTTTACTAAGTGGAAGTGTTTTACTGGACTTAAACATGTGTCTCCCTTTTCACAAATATCATTTCTTGAAGACACTTCAGTAAAGGAAGACACAATAACCACATGTTAGTACTAGGTACATATCTTGGTATATTGTTGAATAGACTTTTTTTCATATATCCAACTTTTTAATACTACCTCTAATACTAATACTTATTTTCCTAATCACAGAGCTCATAACATGCATATCAATCAAGTAAAAAAATACAGACAATACTGTATAGTTCTGATTATTAATACATATAACAAAAAAGTACTGGAAAAGTATTGTCATGGAAAATAAGAGCATATTTTGGTAAATGGAGAGATCTAAACAATTTATGATATCAGATGGTAAATAAGACATGACAACCTCCTGCTGAAGAAAATTATTGGAGCCGTACACAGATCTTGTCATGTCAATTAACAATAGACATGGTGAAGGGTGCACTGATTTAGAGATATTTAAACAAATATGTTAGAGGAGGGCATCAATATCAGGAAAAAACCTATGGTGCATTGAAAAGATCTTGAAAGTTCAGAATATATATGGTTTAGATGTGGTGATTTTGACAGTTTTTATTTACGATTTAAGGTGTGGAGCGTGACCCCCAGGGACTAAACATATGGTGTACTGTAAAGGTCTTGTCACGACAAAAAAGAAATTATGTATGTATGGTTTAAAGGTCGGAATATGAACAGTTCAACTAATAATATAAAGGGGTTGGGAATGAAATCAAGGGACAAACCCTTGATCACCCTTAGGTGCATTGAAAATCAATGGTAAGTTGATATATACATGGTTTTAGGATGAACATATAATAAATCAATTATTAGAACTTGAAGGACAAAGGTTATAAGGTCATCTTTAATATTACGCGCGACATATCGCCTTGAAGTGGTGCACAAGCGTTGTAAATATCAAAAGCCTATGTCAAAAGATAAACATTTTATATTCCAGACACGAAAAAAATATTTGACCTTAGGTCAAAGGGTCACATGAAGATTATGATGATATGCCACCGTTTTATAATTCACCTTCATTCAAAACATGTTTCATATCCAGAAATCAACGCCACTTTGCTTATTTGAATATTATACTAAAGAAATCGGATACGGGTCACGGAAATTATATTGAAATGATAGGGAATTTAGAAAAAAAGTCTGTTTTAACTTTGATTTAAGTGATAGACAGGTTGCCGGGGCAGAAAATAAATATACACAACAATATACACCATTTAAACGAAATATAATGACCGGCGTTGCAAAAATCAAGGTTCCTGAGCTATTTTAAAAATCGAAGCGAGAGGCTTTTAACATTGAAGTATAAAATACAGGCTAAAATGGCTGAAACGTCAAATTTGCAAACTTCGTGTTGAAAATTGGCTAACAAGGTCATTAGAAATACAGGTTGCCCGGGGTGAAACTTGAAACTTGAATGTCCAAAGAATAATCAAGTCCAAACCTTGTATGTGTAGTCGTTGAACTCTAGGTTCCCACGGAAAGTTAAAATGCCTCTATTTCAAGAAGAATAAACTCACGAAAACACGAAAAATACGGAAATATCAGAGTGATTATAAACAAGGTCTCTGTGACGGGCAACTTATAATATCCGTGTTTTAAAGATTTTAATGATATCAGATTATATCAAGCCAGTCCAGTTCAAACTATTATCACGTGGTACAATTCTCATTTACATATTATGAATATTAATAAGCAAAAGTACTACTAATTTCTGGCTATGTTGGTCTGGAAAAGATTGAACTATAATATAAAGGAACGTAAATGGAGATGAGACGGATCAATAGTTAAAAATTACTCATAATTAGGTTAAAGGTCCTGAAAGGAACCTATTATATGCTTTCGTCCAATAATGCATTCTTGGCCCATCGTATATTGTTTCTGAGAACCAGTTTAAACCAATGAAGCTTGGATATTAAATCAAGGCCATATATTGCATGGTAAATAGTCATAAACTTAATTATCATATACTAAGAGTCAATAACTTATAATTTTTACTGTATGATAATAGCATTAAATTTACGTGAATTCCATATTTTCCGAAATGGTGCTTAGCGGGCTGATATGAAAAATTGATCAACTGCTTCCGGCTATTATCGCATAACTCGGCAAATTCCGGAACATACATCTCAATAGTACGTTTTTAGTAAAAAACATAACAAAGTAGGGTACAAAACAAATATTAGGAAACAGGAAAATATATTATGTAAAATGCAAAGCAAATGATACAATAAATACATTTTTCAAAGTTTCCAGCATAATTTAGCAAGTTACTTTACAAATGCTGACTTTTCCAAACAGTGTTCATGTTGTTTTTCTCCTCTGTTGAGGCATATGATAGAAATAATTCATATCGGAGGTATTACATTTGGCGTCCGTCGTCCGTTAACTTTTGTCTTTTTGAACTTCTACTTGAGAACCACTTAAAAGGATCAATATATTAAACTGTTATTTTTCTCCATTGTTGAAATTTATAAAAATTGAAAGGGAGCTTACGTCAATAGATATAAATAATTCATCAAAGTTTCATGCAAATTGGTTAAAGCGTTTTT